ACACAAAGTCGAAGTCTTGGATTCCGAATGTCGAAACAGGAGCAAGTCACACTGAGCAGCACTGAGGCCGAAAACTGAGTGCCCGTGCTGGGCTTGAGTCCGGTCTTAAGTACCGGACTCAGGTTCAGTCCGGAGGGGCACGGATGCAATTTGCCCAGGACTGAACTGAAAACCGAAAGTCCGAAAATGGGCGCCAGAATGCTGGATGGCGCCAAGCGTCCGAAATCCGAAAGTCCAAAAGGAGGAGTTTGGGAACAGGCCGTGGAATGCTGATGGCGCCAAGTAACAGGGGACAGGGTAGTGCTACCGATGGTCTACAGGGGAGAGCAGGTAACGGGGTTTCCTATGGAAAATTCTTGTCACGGGTCGAAAAATAAATAAAAATTGTTTGTTGCAGGTTCAAGGGCACAACTTGCATGTACAAGGGCTGGGATGTCTGATGGGATCTGGGTAAAGAGTCTGAGGTCTGCAATGGGTCAAGGGGTCTGGGGGAGGTCTTCAAATAGGTCCAGATCAGCGGCAACAATAGGGGTCTTGAAGGTGCTTGGGCAGCAAGGCAAGCTGTAAAGGTCTTCGTCAGGCCCCAAAGTAGGCAGCAGAGCGGTCTTCAGCGGCTGCAACATGAGGTAGGCGTAGTGGTAGTCAAAAGTCCAAAGTCCAAGTGCTCGGGTGCGCCCAGTACATGATCGGCAATGAAGTCTGATCCAGTAGCAAGGAAGTCACAGACTGGTACATGGTTCATGTCACAAGTAGCTGCTCCAGGGAGTCTGCGAGGCAGGGTGCCGGCCGTTGTAGCAGCATGGTGGCCAATCCAGCTGCATAATCTCCATGAACAGTGATGCAGCAAGCCATCATTCTCGTGCGCATGCCATTAGATCCTTTATCGCCAGCGTCACGCAGATCCACAAGCATTGGACAAGAGAGGCAAAGGTAGTGGAGAGGACGGATGGGACAAGGCTAGACAACGGCAAGGCAGATCAGACATCAGGAATCAGGGTCCAGGGAAGGGTGGGCTGGTTTCAAAGGTGTGTGTAGAGCAGGGTTGCGAGGTTGCAGCGGGGTTTAAGCGAGGGTTTAGGGTTTATGCTGGGTTGTAGCTAGGATACAGGATAAGCACGGTCATAGGCACAAACAAGTTTCATGGCGTTCTAGAGATTATCGAGGGGTTCCCATGTTGATTCTTCGTCAGGGTATCCGTTCCATTTGACTTTGTATTCGGTGATTGGTTCCGGATAGTCTGTGACTTGGGTTGTTCTTCTTCCTATGATTGCTTCTACTACGAATTCCGGGCCAGTGGGAAGCATGATAGGTGGAGGTCTAGGATATGGGCGATCAGCGAACTGAGGCGGGGATTCGTGGTATTCCTTGAGGTATTCTACGTGGAAGACTGGGTGTACACGGCTCATGTCAGGGGGGAGTTGGAGTTTGTAGTTCACGGGAGARGTTTGTTCAATGATGGGGAAGGGACCGAGCCACTTGTTCGAGAGTTTCTTGGACAAGCCCTGTTCGGGTTCAAAGCGTTTGGCGGAGAGCCAGACTTTGTCCCCTACTTCGAAGGTGATATCACGGCAACGCTTGTTGGCTTGTTTAGCTTGTTGTTCTTGGGTGTGCTTGATTGACTCGGTTGCTTCTCTTAGGAGACGGTTCATTGTTGCAACCCATTCATTGAGAGAGGGTCAGGGGGAGGATGGGTTGAGTTGCGAGGGGAGCAAGAAGTCAGAGGGCAAGCGTGGGTGATAGCCAAGGTCAAGGTAGAAGGGGGACATGCCGGTGGAAGGGCAAACAACGTTGTTGTAGGCAATCTCGGCGGCGATGAGCAGCTGATCCCAATCGTGTTGGTGGGGATGACAATACTTCCGCAGGATTCTTTGGAGAGTATCGTTCATCTTCTCGGTCTGTCCGTTGGTCTGTGGATGGAATGCAGTGTTGTACATGAGCGTGGTTCCGTAGGCATTGAAGAGCTGTTTCCAGAATTTGGAGAGAAAGCGGGGGTCACGATCACTGATGATATTCTCGGGGAGGCCGTGGTGTCGGGCGACATGGTCGAAGAAGAGAATGGCAATGTCTTTGGCGTTGTGCGAGGTGGTATATGGGATGAAGTGAGCGCGTTTGGTCAGGCAGCAAACAATGACGTAGATGCAATCATGCCCGTGGTCAGTCTTTGGGGAGACCGCACACGAAGTCCATGGAGATGGACTGCCAGCGATGGGTGGGGATGGGCAATGATTGGAGCATGCCGGGCTTAGCCCGGTTCGAGGGGTTGACGGCCTGACACGTGGGGCATGAGCGGATGTAGGCTTTGACGTCGGCAAGGAGGGAAGGCCAATGGAAGTAACGGGAGATGGTGTCAAAGGTTTTCTGGAAACCAAGGTGGCCAGCAGTCTTGGCGTCGTGGTGCTCGGCCAAGAACTGGGTGCGGAGGCCACGGGCGTCAGGGATGCAAAGTCGGCGAGTGCCTTTGGTGTCTATGTAGAGAAGGTTGTCATGGAGAGAGTAGTTGGGGACGGGGTCCAGGTCGCGGAGCTTGTTGTAGATTTCAGAGAAGTCTGGGCAAGAGAGGTATCCTTGGGTGTAGCGATGGTGGAGCGATGGCAGGAGTTGGATGTGGGTCATGGAGGCATAGACTTTCTCAGGGGGCTTGTGGTCGGAGCGGCTGGAGAGGGCATCGGCAACACGGTTGCTTTTGCCGGGGGTGTGGCAAATGGTGAAGGTAAATTGGGCAAGGAGGTCTAGCCAGCGGACTTGGCGAGATGTCTTTCTTGGTCAAGATAGAGGACACGACGATGTTGTCGGTACGGATGGTGAAGTATTGCCCGTCGAGGTACGGGCGCCAGACTTTGAGGGCATAGACCACGACAAGGAGCTCCTTCTCGTTGGATGGGTAGTTCATTTCCGCGGGAAGGAGTTTCTTGTTGGCGAATGCGATGGGGTGCTCGCCCGACGGACATTGGGAGTGTGTGGGGGAGTCCTTGATGGAAGGGGACTCGGCGGGGTTGGGGGGGAAATGCTGGGATAAGACGGCCCCGATGGCAAAGTCGGAAGCATCCGTGGTGACGAAGAAGTGGCGAGTGGGGTCGGCAATCTTGAGGACGGGGGCCGAGGTGATGAGCTCCTTGAGTTTGTCGAAGGCGGCTTGGCGGCGGTTGGTCCAAGCGAAGGGTTCGGTGGCACGGGTGAGCTCATGGAGAGGGTAGGAAACGTCAGAGAAGTTTTGGATGAAGGGGCGGTAGTAGTTGGCGAGTCCGATGAATGAGCGGAGTCGGGTCAAGGTGGAGGGAGGTGGGAACTCGACGAGGGCAGAGACCTTTTTGGGGTCCATGCGGATGTCGTTGGCGAAGACAATGAGCTCGGATATGCGAGGGAGAGGGTACTTGTTCTTGATCGTGATCCGGTTTAAGGCGCGGTAGTCTGTGCACATGCGGAGCTCCAAAGTGCCATTCTTCTTGACGAAGAGACAGCTGGTTCCGAAGGGGGAGGATCTAGGCTTAATGAATCATTTTTCAAGGAGTTCATCAAGTTGTCGCTTCATCTCTTCGGCCTTGGGGACGGAGAGCTGGTACGGGGGGCGACAAGGGGGGGAGTGGTCGGGCTCGAGATCGATGGTGTGGGAAACACCTCGGTCGGGAGGTAGACCGGCGGGCAACGATTCGGGGAATACGTCTTTGAACTCGGAGAGGAGGGCGGCGATCTGCGGGTTGGAAGGGGGGTCTTGGTCGGGTTTGTCCGTTGGAAGCAAGTCCTCGGGACGCTCACGGTCGATGACAAGGCAATAGTAGGCGGAGTCAGGGTGTTCACGGGTCATGTGAAGGAATTGGTGAGGGGAGACGGGAGGTGGGGTGGATGGGGGGAGGAGGTAGGGAATGTCAAGGGGAGGATCGGGAGGGGTGGAGAGGCGGATGAAGGAAGGGTGGAAGGAATAAGGCATGTAGCGATCGAGCCAGGGAGTCCCGAGTACGATGTCGCCCATGAGGTGCATGACATCGAAGGAGACCAGATTGCGAAGGGAGCCGACAATCATAGTGGTCTCAGGAACTGTGTGATCGACGACGATGGCTGAGTCCTTATCCCTTAGGCGGATGGTGATCGGGGTATCATAGCCAGTGGAGGATAAGCTGGCTTTGCGGGCATAGGCATCCGTGATGAAGTTGCCGGTGGCACCAATGTCGAGAAGGGCCCGGAACTTCACCGTCGATGCACCAAGGGTGACGGCGATGAACTTGAGCTGGAACTGCGCGGTTCCGGCACAAGCGGAGGAGATCATGACGTTGAGGCGGCGTTGCTCTAAGCCTAGTCTGACAAGCCGATCGTGTCGAGCTTGTTCCTCAACAAGATCCGAGAAGGTGGTGGTGGATGGGTTAGGTAGAAGGGTAGAGGAGCATGTGGCAGTGGGGGGCTCAATCGACGGAATAGGGGGCGTCGTCGGGAGGGGGGCAGGCGGAGTAGACTGCGACGCCTGGAGATTGTCCGGTGGAATGTGCATCACCAGAGGAGGGGTTGGCAGATGGACAGTCGATGCCAAGTGAGCCACCGGTGGGGTAGAGATCGTCGTCGATGGGGGTGCCGACAGACTAGAGGTCAATGCCGGGTTATGGCTAGAAGGGGCAGGGGGACAGTGTTCAAGTGGAGGCGGGTCCAAAGGCCGTGGTGGCGGAGGAGGAGGAGGACATGGGAGGGCTGGAACCGGTGGGGCGGGAAGCCTGGTGGGTGGAGCGGCCGGCCTTGAAGCAATTGGTTTGCTGATGCCCCAGCTGGCGGCAACGGAAACAACCGCCATTGGCCTGGAGGTAGGCGCGTTCGGTGGGGGTGAGCTTTTTGAGGCGAGGGGTTTGGGAGGAGGAGGAAGGCCGAGAGGCAAGGCGTTGTCGTTCCATCCTCGATTCCTCATGAGGTGGACAGCCTGAAAGTCTTCCTCGGTGAATTAGGCTAGGTCGAGGGACTCGGGCGAGGAGTCAAGGCCGTCGTCGGAGGGTAAAGACGAGTCATCGGAGGCCATGTTATGGAAGAACCTAGAGCGGGTGGGTGGGGTTGGCCGTTGAGAGCGGATGTGCGGAAGGCGATCATGGTGGAGGAGGCGGGTAAGGAGATCGGTGAGAGGGAGCTCGGGCTCGTGGGCGAGGGCTGCGGCGAGGTGGGGGAAGCATACCCGCTTGATGCGGGAGATGAAAACGTAATCGGGGATGAGAGTCGACGGGATGTGGAGGCGGAGGGAGCGAACGTATTGGATGAATCGCTCGGTGCGGCCGGTTTGGCGGAGGTTGCAAAATTGATCGATGTAGTCATCGATGGTCTTTTGCGGACGGAAGGTGGCGATGAGAAGGTCGGCCCATTGAAGGAAGGAGAGGCGGGGAAGGCCGTTGGCTCGGCGGTTGTTGTTTTCCGTTAACCACCATTGAGCGGCGGCGCCTTGAAGGCGGGAGGTTGCGATGGGGAGCCAATGGGCGAGGGGCATGTTGTGGAGATCGTAGGCATATTGAAGTTCAGAGAGGAAAAGGAGGACGTCCTCGAGGGGGAGGCCGGAGAACGTCGTGATATCGGTGGCGCGGAAGGAGCAGGGAATGTCCCCGTTGCGGGGGACGATGCAAGCGAGGGAGTTGAAGTTGCGGTCATCAGGAGAGGTGTCGTAGCAGGTGTGATCCTGACTACGGTCACCAAGGAGGTAGCAGGGAGGAGGTTGGGGTATGGCGGGGTAAACGCCCGAAAGGACTTGGGAGTAAGAGGGGTGGAGAGAGGGGACGGTGGAAGTAGTTAGGATAGGTTGGGTGAGGGTGGAAGAGAGGGAAGGGGAGTGGTTCGTGGAGTGGTTGAAACACCAGTGGCAGGTTGTGAGGAAGGGAGAGAAGCTGGAAGGGAAGTGGCGGGGGTGGAAGAAGGCGTGGTGGAGGACAGTGAGGTGGTGGAGTTGGAGGATGAGGCCTGGCCGGCTTGGCTGGCGGGAAGGGTTTGGCCAGGTTGGCCGGAGGGGGTAGATTGGATGGGTTGGCTGGAGGAGGAGGGGGGTGCTGACGTTGTGATGACGGTGATGGCAGGTGCGTGGGTTTCAAGGGCGGAGAGACGGTCGGACATGGAGGCAAGTGAGGTCTGGACATTGTTGAGAGCTTGAAGGATGGCAGCGAGATCGCAGGGGGTGGTTTGGGGCTGCTGTTTCGCGTTGAGATCGCGCGCGATGCTGTTGACGGAATCGGTGCGGAGGGTGCCCATGTTGTGGTTGGACGCACCGTCGGCCATTGGGGAAAATGGAGATGAGGCGTCGGGGGAAGACGAAGGGGAAGAGGCAGCAACCGTGGAGGATGTGGTAGCAGCGGTGGCGGCGGCAGCAGCAGCGGCGTCGGCGGCGGCACGTTGGGATGTCCTAGTGTTGCGAGTCATGCGGAAATTGGGGGGGGGGGTGAGGAATTAATTTTGAATAAATAAATTTATTCCAACTGAAATTTTATTTATTCGAAATTAATTTGTGAGTATGGGTAGAACAAAATTTAGAAGGGTCTAAAGAAGAGATTTGTGAAACGAAAATTTTTGAAAATTTTGGTGAAGAAATACACGTTAAAATATCAAAAAAAGAATTATTAATTTTGAAGAAAAATAAATGCCGATTTGGATTTATTTACAAGAAGACGTGGAATTTCAAGAAGAATGAAGTAATCCGGAATTATTTTCGAATTACAAAAACCAAAATTTTGTTGTAATTTTAGAGGAAATAATTCGAAAAGAAATTTCAAAATAGGAATTAATTCAAATTCAAAAAAATATATAGTTAATTTCGAAGTTTAAATTATGAATTTAAATTTAAGAAACGGACTAATTAATTAAAGAAATTTTAAGGAAGGTGGGAAGAAAATTTCAAAAGGAATTAGGAATATCTAAAAAAAAAGAATTAATTCTAGAGTATTCAAGGAATTCAAAAAGGAGAAAGAAATTTCGATTGATTAATTCAAAATATTTCAAAGAAATTGCAAAATAATTATTATTTTCAAGGTTCAAAAATAATATGTCAAGAGAAATTTCGATTTTGCAGAAAAGGGTGATTATTTCCGAATTAATTTCGAGAACTTATTCAAAATTAGCAAATGTTTGATTGATGATAGACGAAGTGGGTGGAGGGGGAGAATGGGGCGCAGCGGGGGAAGAAGGTTCGTGCGGTGGGGAGGGGGAGGGGGGTATGTCAGGAGCGGGAGCGGGAATCGGGAGCGGGAGCAGGAGTCGGGAGCGGGAGTCGGAGTGGGAGCGGTAGTGGGGGCGAGAGTCGAGAGCGGGCGCGGGAGCAGGAGCGGGAGGAGGATCGGGAGTGGGGATCGGAAGTGGGGATCGGGTGCGCGGGGAGGTGGAGGGGGGAAGAGAGAGTGGTAGCAGGGTTCGGGAGTTGGGG